AAATCGCGGTCTAAACACCAGAAGCTTGATGAATTTTATAAGCATCGATTGTTCTTCACTGCGCTTCAAGGGTAGAATCTTTGACGTATATTATAAGTTCGGAGATTGACCTAACAACTTGTTTGTAGTATATGACCTTTCGACTGTACAGACTATGTAGCACAGACATCCACTTTCATTTCATAACTTTGAACATGAGTAGCTTTGTTTGAAATCACGAAATTAATGTTAAAACCGAGCAACTTATCTGACCGCCGCTGCAGTGATTATTGATGATAGGCGTGGCAGTTCTTAACTTGAATGTGTTGTTTTCAAATACAGATTCGAGGTCGGAAGGAACGGAGATTTAGCTTAAATCCAATTCGAGAGCTAGATTCAACGAAGGCGCCTCAATATACGACCTTATCTAGGATTTGCTTCGGCACAGCCCTCGTCCCGTCGAGCGTATCGGAAATCTGGTCCAGCAGATCTCCAGTTCTTATTGCTTAGTACCAGGTGGCGACGCCTCCGAAGATAGCATCAACAACCCATAGCATCAACGACCCTGCGGCTTCTAACGAAGTACTTTGACCGGAAGCTCTTGCGACACTTCCATCTTTTGTCAATGTGAATAGCTGCTGGCATATCCGAAACCCAGCTGCGTTTTATAAGCTGAGCTCAACAAAAACAAGGACAAGCTAGAATTACTATTGAGTCGACTAACCGCATAGAAGTATGGTACAAGTATCTACACTAGGGCTTTTCGTGGCTTTGCCTATGTTCCTTATCATGGGATCGGTGTTGCTTGCACATCAGAATAATGCACTTTACTGTCACTAGGGTGTCACTCCTCATTTCGCAATACCTTAATCACGATTATGTGGCGTTCGCTTTTCGACAAACAATACGCTGTCAAGCTTCAGTGCATCCCTTTTCCGTTCTCGACCGTAAAAACCACGCTTGGCCTATCGATCGATACGCCTGGCTTGTTTTCATCACAACAGCGCACAACTATGGCGTGTTAAGTCACGAACACGCATGGTGTACTTCAACTGATGCCAACATACCTTGTTCAAGTCAGATGGCAAATCACTGCGTGAAATTCGCTCTGTACATGTTCAGCACTGCCTTGACAGGCACAATTTCGTTTGTAGTCCGTCCTTTCGCCCGTCTGCTAAGTAATTTGTGTCTCGACGCACGAATAATACTGATTGGGGATATAGTTTATGTACTTGAGGCTACCTCTTTGCATGTCGAGCCATCAATCGGCTCTGCGACACCGAATTGCTTGTGAGCAGGAATCCTAGGAGCCGAAATTTTGCGTCACTTTGTGCGCCGCCGTCAGATACGCCGCATGGATTTGCACAAGTGAAGGCATCAGCCCCAGCGATTATACACAATTTTCTGGATCACGATCCAATTTTCTTACGGACTCAAGCGTCCCCCTAATGGAATGTGATACATCCTGCGCCTTACTGACTGCTTGGTCCCCCTGGAGCCTGATTTATCGATCCATGCATGCCTTGCGGTGTGGATTGTACAAGGACTTTCAGGATCCATCGGCATTGAGCCACACAGCCCCAATTCACCTCAGTTATCATATGATGTCATTATTGCAAACGGCAGGAGATTTTTTTGTCACCGAATGTTGAATTCAGTATTTGGAAATACCAAAATTGAGGGAAAGGTTACATTTTAATAATCGACACGTCTCTAATAATTGTGATTTCGACTCGCACTTTACAATCAGCATCACCAGTGCCACTCAAGTTGCGCCAGTCACATTTGATGACACCAGAATACTCGAGTTCGTTGCGACAGATGTGTTGTGCGTCATTTTTTTTTTCGAATGAAGACATGCAGGCTTGTACTCAAATTTAACCTGCATCCTTTTGCCAGAGTTCACAGTCCCACCTCAATGTCAGCGACAGATCGTGCGGTCCATTGAGTGATATGCGTACATCCGATTTCGCTGGAATACCGGTCAGCATCTTCACCCGGTTACGCACTCGATTAACTTACAGCCGCGGAGTTTCGATGCAGCTGGAGACGCTTTCGTAAGAAGAGGACAAACTCACATCTTTCACTGTGTATTAGATGACCTAATCTGAAAGATTCTAGCAACAGTTATACACGACGGTCTATCAAAGAGCAAGTGTCGTTACCGTATCAGCTGCCTTTAAATGTGATTCATTCCCTAATGTGCAATACACATGGAGAAGTTGACGGGCAGTTTTGCGTCCATGATACTAATCTACTCACGTCTTCACTCAAATAATACATTTTCCAGCCTGGATTTCTCTACTACAGGTGCACTTTCCTGACTGGTGCCGGGACGAATAAACTATTGACACACCTCTCCCGATGCATCACTTGTTTGCATTGTAGAATACGACGAGACACAGAGAATTTCCTGAGGACAAACAAACACTGCATTCACGTGGCGAAAATTGTAGCACGCTAAATTCAGTCCGCTTCCATATTTCTTACCCCTAATAAAAGACCTGATATCAGAAGTATGTGATATTTTTCTTTTTTATCGGCAGTGTCATTGATACCATGGCATCTCGTTTACAAAGAAGAATGGTTGTTGCATTAGTAGATTTTTATCGTTTCGTAATTTCTTAGCTCTTTCTTCCTAATTCAAGATATTTAACAGCAATATGAATATGGATGAAAGAGTGCCAATACTGCTTTAGTTTACCGTTGGTGGTGATTTGAAGCAACCGCTGATCAGCTCATTTGAGATGCGGACAGGATCAAATTTGAAGTTTGTACCGTTGGCCTGAGTTAGTCGACACCTAGCGCATTATTAATCGGAAAAATCAAGACTATACCATTTCTTATCGTAAATACTGACTGGGTTACATTTTGTTACGACAGATCGAGTGCGCACATCTGTGATCACAAGGTCGATGCGTGCAGACAGTGGTCGTTAACCCAGAAGATGTTCAAAATATCTTTTCTGGGGCTTTTGCAATCGTGCAATATCAGTTCAAGCGTTTACTAGCCGTATAAAATTTATCGCGAAAATATTGAATGTCTTTGTGATGAGAACAGAGAGCAGAGTACCACAGACAAAGTCTCGCTTTCAAATTAGTGTGTGCCTTCGTTAGAGTACATTTCATGGAAAAGCACAAGACTCGTCGACCTGTTAGTTACTTCCTAAAATCGCTCGCCGATCTCTTCAGCAATTCCATCAATTCAGACGCTACAGACCAGCTTTCCCTAAACCTTACTCGTTGTGACTTTAAGCAGAGCGATTTCGTCAAGCTAATATGCAATCAGATTCCCGGTACCAAGATGTCGGAAGCCTGCTACCTCTTCGACACCGCATCAACGACCTGCTTAGTTGTTTCGCAACTGGATGATTATCTAGTTGCAAGCATCGTATTGGGCTTTCACAAAACACGTGGACATGGACAAGGACACTCGGATCTTAAACATTAAATCGCTCTTCTTGCTGTGGTTTTTTTTTGTTATCATGGAGCAAGCGCTAGCCGAGTTGGCAATGATAATGGATCAACAGCAGAAGATGATAACTCCTTTAATGAAGGCGCGACACTATATGAGCTCAACAAGCAACGAACACCAAAATACTTTACATCGAGTAGAAGGGCTCTCAGTGCCTAAGTACTCAGAAAGACTCGATGCTAGCGTATCTTTGCATGTTTATCAAGTTCTTACGTATTTTCCATCCAGAAACATCGATCGCCGACAGGTGAAATTGCAAATAAGCGCTGTATTGCAATTGTCTTTGCTGATTTGAGAAGTAGGTATTAAGCCTGCACGAAGTCTGATCAGGATGCAAACACGTAAAGGGGCGACGAAACAGTTAAAAAAATTGCAGATCATCGAGGAATCTTTTGCGATCAACTGTTTGTTGAATCAGGTGCATAGCAAGAATATGATAAAGTACGTTGAGAAATTGTTCACAATCATGCGAGATGACCGAACGCAACAGTTATATTCTCTAACTAGTGCTTCTTAGATAAGAATGTGAACTGATGTCAAATGACTCATACAAGTTGCCTTGGAATAAGAAAGAAGCCATATCGTAGCGCAGGGAATGCAGTATAGAAACAAAAATCGACAAGAACAAAAAAAAATGTGTTTCAAAGGACAACCGCATTGACACTTTCAGTCACCACCGCCTCACCAACCGCCATCACCTCAGAAATGGTAACCCGTCGCCCAAGTCAAGGATCATGATGATAATGTGATCGAACCGGCCACCATAGTGCACAATGCCGCGAATGGTGCAAAAATCGTTATCATCCACCTCCGTGTGATAATAGCAATAATTATTAACGATATTTTTCGTGCACAAAGCCAAGAAAACAAAGCTAAGTAGAAGCTAGCTCACAAGGTTGATGAAGCAAAAATCATTGATGGTGAAATGATTACCGCTGAGTCAAGTGAACAAAAGTAAAGCTGACTCCTCAACTAATGATCGTGTCGGGCAGTATCGATGAGAAACCTGTTATGGTTTTGATTTACAGTAGAGCAACAAGCAACTGACGCCGTGCGGACTTGACTTCTAACATTGTGGCAAGTAAGGAAGGTTTGATCCAGGGAATAGTTGGTATATTTACGCCTCGACAAGATGTAAAGTTTGTGCATTATTATTTGCCTGTAGTATGGACGTTTGCCGACCAGAATGCAAACGGAATAGGATTTAGATTCGAGTAAATTTGAGGTTTATTGGGCAGAAACTTGATATAACAAATACAAGTTGAGTACTGATTGGCGCGTCAATAAAGTGCAAAGTCGGAAAAAGATCCTGTATGGATCGCTAAGACAACGATGGTGTTTAGTGTGCCCAAAATTGTTGAAAAAAGACATTTATCAACATGTGCATCCAATCTTTTGGCGAACGCTTTACTATCGCTTTGCACTATTGAAGTCGACCTCAGCAAGAAGTTCGATGCAAAATCTTAACACCGACTAGCGGTTTAATTAGAGCATGCGCCGCTGAAAAAATCGTGAACAACTCCGAAGCAAAATGCTGTAATTTGCTGTTAACAGGCGATTGGGTATAAAATATATATTTTGCGTTTCAAAGAAAGACATCGATGGTGATTGCCATCAAGACGTGACTGGCTACGCACTGCAACCTCAGATACCCGATTCGATGTATTCTGGACAGATATTGTGTTTTCCAACATTGATGACTTGCTTGATCGAATACATAAAAGCTTAAGCGTTAACAAATTGTCACAGCTTTTAATACTCGTTGTTTCAACTACACTGCCAATGGGAATGGATGAATTGCTTGAATTCTGGTCAAAACCTATGCGATTGCACAAACCACCCTCTACCGCGTAAACATGGATCACATCTGCATTTTCTAGACCAATGAACAAGTTCATGGACAATATTTGGCCAAAGTCTGATATATTCTGCGCAGCGAGAAGTTTCTATGTATTATTTCTAGGTGACATCTATATCGACAACTCTGTTTCCAAGCGGGCGCAAACGCCCGTTCCGATTCTCAAGTTGACAAGTAGCTGGACTTTTGTAATCAACTTGGTGATTTCTTGATGACGGAGGTTGCACCACCGAAAACAGCAAGCCGATTGCACTGCATACACACGACGTTAGACGTGTTTTGACACGTGGCTCGACAATTCGTCATTTTGAACAAGTGGAAATGTAATGAATCTAAAAAAACCTGCAGTTGCTTTTTTGATCGATTCGCCTTGTTCGAGGAAGAATATTAAGGACCCAATCTACAAATCATGAATCAACACTATGTTGGTAATTATGCAGCACGATTTTTTGTCCAGTCCTGTGCAAATGAGTGAAAAATGAAGAGTTTTAGCATGAATATCAATCAAAGTCAACGTTTGCAGAGATAGTTTCAGCGATAGAGTTTTGTAGGAAAAGACAAATTGATATTTTTTTGCACTAAAAATCAATTTTAAAGACTTTGCGAATCGAGCGGTAGTAAATATATATCATTTCGATATTACACAACTCTTAGATTGCTGGATATCCTGGCATCAAAAAATCTTAACTACGTGTTCTCATTTGAGATACATTCAATGACGATATCAAGCTTTACGTTTTGCTACCGAAACGTGTATCCGTTTCAAACAATTTGTTTGAGAGCGATTGGGACCAAAGCACCGAATCAAAGCTGACGTACGATCCTTATGAATAAATCACTAGTCGTTCTATATCTTGTGGTCTTGATAGAATTTTTGAGGTTCTTGGCAGATTGTTCGAACACAACAAATGCATTGTGACGGATTCTACCACCAATGTATAATCCGAAGTTGTTTTTATGACGAAGTCGTTTGCCGTCATGTTCTTCCTGCTATTATTATCCGCGATTTCTGCCCCTGAGCTGCTGTGGTCGTAGACTCACCCGAAATTTTTTAGCAGTTACTAGAAATTATGAATGGCTAGCATGGGAATCAAGCAATCTATGAACGCCGCTGGTGGATCTCAAGCCTATGGGGTGGTAGAACGACAAAGTCGAATGCTAGAAGACTACTCACAGCGCCATCTTTCGTATTTTGGGCAAGGTTGGGTATATATATCATCGTGCAGCTATCGAGTATTTTCATTGATTATCGAATTGAGTTACACCATCAAAAATCGATACAGGACGCAAATCGCGAAATCTTGTGATTCGTAGCGTGTCGTATGGAGTCCAACTCGGCGGAAAGTTGAAGAGTGCCTTTGACAGCTTGAAGAAAATTCATTTCAACACACAATTTACTAGGACTAGAAGCGGTCAAATGTTTAGTTTGATAATCGAGATTTCTCCATGTTAGTTAGAAATTGCTGCCACTGTTACGCTACGCAACAAATTGCAATGACAGAAAAGCCGAAAATTGGCCTTGCAATTAAGCAGTCCGTTCAAAACCCTTTCGTGAAATGAACCCTTTTGCAAAAAAATAAAGTTTATTGAGCCTAATCACGATGCTATCAACGTTGTTCGGTTAAATTCGTTCAGTCAATTCTAACTCAGTTTGCGACATATCCAATACCAAAAGTCGTATCTATTATTATGACAACGCTGATGATGACATGTACGTCGTGAAGCTCTTTTGCGTCAGAGACAGCGCAGCGACAAGCAAGACTACCTTGTCGATATCCCGAAAGCAAAGCAACATGTGAGATAGGCAACATCATGCACGTTTACCGCTTCAAGCGCTTGCTAGCGTATCAAGATAGCTACAAGACAACGGGGTATCAAGACGTTAGGGAAAGATGTGGCGATTGCACGTATCGATAAATTTTCGAAGCCGTAACAGCCATATCACAGATATATTATTTCACCATGAAGGAACCTTTCTAGTAAAAGACAGCATGCATGTGATACATAAGAGAATAAAAAGAAGTACAAGAACAAGAACAAGAACAAGAACAATTACAATAACAATAACAATAAAAAAAACAATAACAAGAACAAAAAATTTAGCGATGAACATTCATGTCAAAAACATTGTCACTACAACAATCCAGCAGCATAGTGTTTGACATAGGATAATTTTTGCTTGTTATCCACTGATTAATTTTTATTTGTAGATCAGCAACGACAGCCCCCCGTACTTTGTGCTCATCGACCCGTACGATTCTCGAATACCGCTCTGATTCGCTTCTTTCCCCGTGGTTTACAATTTGTAGCAATAGAGCGGGTGAGGCGTTATTGCAGCTGCTGACAACGTGGCGATAATTCGAGCGCACGTTTCACAAACTTCACTGTTCATTAATATCTGATGAACGACCCTTGTTTGAAGCACTGCTGACATCATCGCTTGCATTTCGCACCTCCATTACACATTCAGGATAACTCCCCCCTTTTTGCTTTGCAAATTCAAATTATTATGTGATCCTTCCGAGCCACAATATCCTTCGAAAAACTGATAGTTGCAAATTTCGTTCGTCGCTCGGCGTTTTGATGTCTTTGGACGACCGTAACTTCCCCTTTTGTCAGAATGTAGACCTGTTTTCTTTTCTTTTAACGCGACCTCCTTCGCTTCCCAAAGGCTTGTTTTCTATACGTATAAAGGAATACAAGCCATTGGGGAGGGGTGGAGCGTAAATGCACGCCGAACAGAAAGCCAAGATGTCGCTTTTGCGATATCTCCTTGTTCGTCAGGACTATCCGTAATTAAATTTTTAGGGTTCATCATGACATTTCCGAAGCACAGCTCAAGTACAAACCATGTGTCGGACCATAATTCAAGTGTGCGATACAGTCGCTAACCCCTTATACTACATCTTGATCATTTCAAGGCTTCATTACCTTGCTACATGACATAACAAAACATATCTAGCGTATTAAAATCACCTCCTCATTTCATATGCAAAACATGAGATCTGCAATCAAACGTCTTTATGCTAGTCTCCGTCTCCTACTACAATCAACTTGAAAACTACCATATTTCTCGATAGATGTTTTCAAGTCAGCCTCTAGCACGTTATGGTTAAAACAAATGACTCATAAGGTAGATTTCTAACGCGAGATCTAGTCATCAAGATGATCGTATGGCCTATCAAATAATCATCAGTCTAAACACCTCAATTTGTACATTTAAAACGGAATGTAAATTTTCGTCGAATTTATTGCAATTTTATGTTTAGCTGATGTGGCACCACCACACCATTTCTCACTCCAAGAGAAGAGGTGACTATTGGTCTTACGATGCCAAGTAGCGAGGATTCCAACACGCCACGTTCAAACACGTGGACACTTGATGAATTTGGTGACTTAGTATCAGCATGGGAACTAGCAACGTCACGTCCTCGTGATCCAAGCGCACCAACGCTTCATGATGCTGTGTTTAAACATTTTGTGGTCTTACGTGGGGGATCTACACGACGTAACAAAGCAGCACTTACAAGTAAACGTAGTGCATTGAAATTTTCATATCTTTACATTCGAGACTTTGATAGTGAACAGAAAGGTAAGAATCTTGTCCCGTTTTTCGAGTTGTCGAGTTCACAACGTTATGAAGTCATGAGTTCGTGGAAAAAAGTGAATTCAAGTCTTGTTGAGATTACACCATTAATGTATCAAGGATTAATGCGAATTGTAAGTAAAGGAGGAGAAGATGATCCAGTTGTGCCAATTAGAAAACGTCAAAAGGAGCTTCAGGAAGCCACAAATACGATGCGATCAGAGTCTCGACCAACACGAGCATCATTAGCTTCGAATGATTCGCCATTGAAATCAATTAGTTCAAAGAAGAAAACTCAAACAGCTGCAGTACGAGCATCGAGTAATCCATGGTCATCAGAAGAAATGTTGCAATTAATGGAAGCGTGGACTCTTGCAGCCAAGACAGTGTGTGAGACAACATCAAATGATCCCATGTCGATTGTACATGAAATTTATCGCCAATTTGAAAGATTACAAGGTGGTTCAACAACACGGAATCTATCAGGTTTAGCCACACGACGACGAGTTTTGAAACAATCGTATACTCGAATTGCCGCGTTTGATAAGATTCAAAAAATGAATGGAGACTTGCCATTTACAGACTTACCTGTCGCCACTCGATTGAGTGTCTTACGATCGTGGAAGAATGTGAATTTATTGGATTTATCGGCTGATTTGTACGCGAGATTACATAGTGTCATTGCTTTGGATACTCAAGCTGTGGCACTTGAAGATCTCCGTCGTACGAAAGGATCGACTACGAAACCAATTCCTCTAGTTCCTGGACGAAAAGGGGGTCGACCACCGAAGAAGATTAAAGCGCAGAGTTCAGGTCCAACTAATGAGGAAGATCATGTGCCTTCGTCTCAAACATCGATTAGTGTTACGGATGGTGAAGAAGAAAAAGCGCTGCCAAAAGTGACGAATGTGAGCGATAGTGACGCCAAGACAGAAACGATAGCACCCGAGTCTGTCATTCCAACGAATGAGACGCACGTAGTTAGTACGATGGATCAATCTGAATCCGAGAATCACGACACAATTTCTTCTGCTACGAAATCTCCTTCGGTAGAAGATGTAGACAAAAAGGTTCAAGAAACGACACGGTCTTCAGCTGAGTATGAGCAAAACACGTTAGAAAACGTTGAAATTGATTCTGTGCAAGATTCATCGGCAGATAAGACGCTCTCTTGTGCTGATGATACATCAATTGAAACTCATGAGATGGATCCAAAATCACCATTACTTTCAGTAAGCCAAAATCAAGATGATAAAAGTGTTGAGAATAATGAAGTTGAGAGCAATACGAATGCAGTTGAAAATCAGTCAGTAGACGAAAGTGCACGTGACTCTGTTGTACCAAAAACTGATGAGGTTGACGAGAGTGACGCACCTACGCGTAAGGGTCCAGGACGTTGGGGCAAACGAAAGCGTAAGATGCAAATGGATGCTCCAAATGGTCTATTATGGGAGATTGAAGAGCTTGCTCTTTTGATCAAAGCGTGGGAAAAAGCTGCAACTCTTGTATGTAATAGTGACCCAAGTGAACGACTGTCTTTGAATCGAGAAATGTATCGTGAATTTGTTGAGATGCAAGGTGGATACTCTGTACGAAACGATACAGCTCTTGCAGCACGACGGAGTTCGTTAAAATCATCTCATGCTCACATTTTTTCATTTAACGAGGCCCAAAAAGCGAAGAATGAGCCCACTTACCACAATCTTCCACAAGATACACGCATGAGTTTACTACGATCATGGAAGAATCGCAATTCTGTCGATTTGACTCAAGAAATGTACGATACGTTGGGACGCATTATTGCTATGGATGACAAATTGGCTGAAATTCGACACCTTCGACCCCCTGTGTCTCCAAAAGTCAAGAGTAGCACGAGTACTCTTGACTCGAGTATTGATTTGAAAGCTATGAAGCCTCCAAAATGGAGTACTGAAGAATCATCTGACTTGATTAAAGCATGTGCCGATGTTCTGAACGTTTCTAGTGACCGAGAATTGTCACATTCTGAACGAGAAGGATTAATTTATGACGCATTTTTAGCTCGTCGTCAGAGTGCAGGGGATACAGACACTTTAATTCGTCGAGATTTGCGAAGTATGGCACAACAATGGCGCTGTATTCTGGCATCCTATTCATATATCAAAGCATGTAATGACGATCGTTCAGAACCAAATAGTCCGTCGTGGTTTGACATGACATCATCTCAAAAACGTGCGTATCAACAGTGTACGAATATTCCAGTCAAATTTGTGGATCTGGATGCCAATATGTTTGATTTAGTTACAAAAACATCATTTGTGGGCGTGTCGTCTCCACTTTTGACGCCATCGTTGCCATCACCAATTGCTGAGAATGCGACAGATGGAATTGCTTTACGTCCACGTTCTGCTCGAAAGAAATCGGATGTTTTTTGGTCGTCCGATTCGGAATCATCGGTAATTGAAGAAGTGGGAGGAGAGAATCGAAATGATCGTATTTCTTCTGGAAAGAAGGGCAATATTTGGCCACAAGAAGAAATTTGGAGCTTAATTCAAGCATGGGAAGAAGCAGCTGAGACGACGAAAGGCACACGATTGACTTCAGCCCTAAATGAAACTTATGCTCTGTTTACCAAGCGCCAAGCACCATTCCATCGAACTCGAACGTTAATTAGCGTCAAAAATCGAATGATTGCTTTGAATTCCTCCTTTCTTGGTATCTCGTCGTATATTGCTGAGCGTGGTGAAAGTTCAGCTTGGTTTAATTTGAGTACAGAAGAACGAATTAATGAGATTCGAAGCTGGGGAAACAAAACAATCATCGATTTAAATGAAGAAATGTACAATTCGTTAGCACGAATTCTCGATCGAAAACGAAGTGAGAAAATGGAAAGTGGGAAGCGCAAGCAAGGACGAGTGAAAGAGGTGGAGACGAAAAGTTCTGGTAGTAAGCACGAGAAATATGCTGCTGCAAATTGGAGTAAAGACGAACTATTGATGTTAAGTGAAGCATGTGGTGAATTGTTGGAAGGGAGACGAAGTCGGCGTTATGTCTTTGAAGAAGAGAAAGATCGTTTTTTTCGTCGATATGAAGAATTGGGTGGAACCAATTCGTTGGCAGCAGCTGTGGGATTAGCTCGCTATGTCTTGGATTCGTATGAATTTATCTACTTTTACAATCAAAGAGCAATCGATACGGGATGTTTAACGTGGTTTGAACTTGATCTTGAAGATCGAGATGCTATTACTCTAACAATGAGTAAATCGTATCGAAGTTTTAATGGGTTAACGACAGTGGATGAAGAAATTTATGATGTGCTTGATAAACTTGATGCTGAGCTTCGTTTCAAACTTGGAGAAGAAAAGAAAAAGACTTATAAACCTCCAACTGATGCAACGTCATCTCGTTACGTGAATATTGAGTCTGTGATTGAACATTGTGAGTATAAAAAGAGAGTCGAGACAAGAAAGAAGGTTGGAAAGATTCCAGAGCCAATCGATGACGAGTCCGAAGAAGAAGATAATGAATCGTCGAGTATGGAATTGTCGATGAATGATGAATCTACCGACAGCGACTCAAGTACAGCGGATCATTTCAATTCTCGAGCAGCTTCCACTGCTATAGGTGATGGTCCGTCTACAAGACGTAATTCCGTTCGTCGTGAGTCCGAAACTTTTGAAGACTCGACTCTTTTACCTCGTAAACGATCCCGAACTTCTTCTTACGTCGACTTGTCTTCTACTTTATCTATCACCGAGATTATTCACAAACAAAGTCAAAAGTTGGAAGATGCCGTCAAGCAATTTCGAAAAGATAGTAGCATTGCACGAAATGAACACCATGCATTTTTACTACAAAAGATTCAAGAAACATTTCCAATTGATCGTGGTCATGGATCATTCTTAGAGCGTGTTGCTGAACGACAAAGTCAATCGTTAGGTGAATTATTCCAACGCTTGCAACGACAGCGTGATATGGAAAAAGCCAAAGATGAAGAATTGATGCGTCAATTGTTTGAAAGGACGGAACGTACATAAAGGATGACAAATGTTCACGCTACGTGTTTTTTTATTGATTTCGATTGCAAATGTGACGTTTTTTGACGTAAAAGATGGCTCCGCAGATTGTGTTAATCTGTATTGTATTGTGACAAGGTGATGAAAGACCTCGAAAAAGTGCTAGAGGACCGACAGAGGTACTAGCAATATATCCACCAACTGGAAGGTCTTGAAACACGTGAGTCCAAACTTGACGAACATTATTCACAAAGTCGATCTCATCAACTTTCGTGATAGATCCTCCAGTGATGAAAGCACCAAATGCTTGTTCATTAGCTTCAAATAAATTGGACTGAAGGTGTTGAAATGCTTGATTAAGTGCTGACCATGTCTTGGTTGAATCATGTAAAGTTAAAATTCCATAATCTCCTTCAGACCAACAAATGGATTGGGATTGAATGGTTTCATCTACTGAAATGGTAACATCCAAGCAAGTGAAACGTTCTGAAGAAGTAAAATCTCGATTGCTAGAGTTCATGAGATGTTCAAGTGGTACTTTATTGGAACATGAAACAAGATTGAGTGCACTGTCTTGTTGAATTTTCAGTCGATCGGATGGGTTTAATAAATCGAGTAAACGAGAGTGTAATTCTTCCATTGAAACGATGTCATACATCATAATATGCTTGAATTCGTCTACAAGATGAACACGATTACATTGAATGATTGGTGTGATTGGATCGTACCCATTTGCAGAAAATGATCGAAAACTCACGTTACCATGAACACGAACAAGCATTGTACAAGGAAAATGAAGTTGACGTTGCTTTTGAAGTTGAATATGTTGAGAATCATGACATTTGCTTTTACAGTAGGAGACAAGAGGAAGACATCGATCCGTGACATTGGAGACTGTTCCAATAATTGCAGCTCCAGGGTACCAATTTTCAACAATTTGTACAAGTTGATCTGCACTTTGGGTATTAACTCCAAATAGTAAGAAACACGGGATTGTATCATCTTTTAAATCTGAAAATGGGTCATTGAGTTTTAGTCCTTGTTGAGACCATTTCACCACTTTTCTATCATATTCGGCTGATTCTAATGTCGTGTCTGGAAAATGTGCGACCGAGACGGATAGTACTATTCCATTACTATTTTCAATACTTATTTCATTTCCCAATACTTTGTGCATCGTATAGATGCCGATGAATTGACAGTTTGCAGGTAACAAATGCGCTTTTTCAATTGTAGTAATTGCTTCAATCCAAAACTTGCCACGTCGCCATGAAGTAGAATCTTGACTAGCAACCAAAAATAGTATTAAATTTGGTGGAAATCGTGTGTCGGCCCAATTTAAGTGGTTCGTCTGGAGCAATTTGAGACTTTCACGAGTAGTACTTGAGGGACCTAAGACTGTAGTACGCCACTCTGGAAAACATTGTTTTGCTTCAATTACTATACGTCTCCATGCACAACAGACATAACTTAATGATGTAGTATCTCGCCATGTCATATACGGCAAGATTAGAGTCCAAAGATCAGAAGGAAAAGTCAATACTTGACTTTTGGGCTTGACTTTTGGCCGAGTTTGGTGAGCCAAGTACCGTCGATTACTACATGAATTCACAGAATTTGACGTCTGAGACACTGGGCTTCTTTTAGAATGCTGAGGATCATGGCGTCTCGATCGGCGCGAGAAGCTTTGGTACTTCATGGACATAGTAACAACTGTAATACGTGTATTAAAAAATAATTTGAAGTGCGGTACTATATCATAAATCCAATCAGAATATTTTAGTAGTACTCTGTGAATTGACTCGTTTAGGTATCACTATACCAAGCGCAATTTCATTAGACAATGACAGCCGTCTGTATTGCTATGAATAACTCATAACTCTCGCTCGTTTAGTCGGCGAGCGATGCACATAATGTATGGTAATGTCTTGAAAAGTAGAGCTAAGCCAACAAGCATTTTGTTGACGTTTTTTCACGACAATGGTGAGCGAAGGTCACAGCCTTTCAGTACCTCTTCTGTATGCATCTTAGGCCTCGCTTTAAACAGACATCCATATCTGGTTTAGCCAGGTCTTTTTTTAGAATTTGGTATTGGGGCTGCAGTCGGAAAAATATTAACTTTAATTTCACATCAAATTAATGTCTCTAAGAACATATCGTTAAATTCTTATTGCGCAGTGAGCACACGATAAGTCAATGTTCTTGTTTTTCGTCCCCTGCCATCTATACTGTGGAAAAAACTTTGCTGTCAAACAGCAACTTGAGCAGCGCAAAAAGTGAATGAAGTGCTGAGCTGCACCTTTTTGAGTTGAGCCTGTCAGGTAAGTTTACCTTCAGCGCGTGTCAACAAGTTTTCTCTCTATTCGTACCAGTCGGCACTATATTAAAACTCGGAATGATCTCGAGACGCTTAATTACGTCAAAGACCCAGACGTTTATATCTGGTGTGAATGCTTTCAGCAGATCATCGACCGATTTCATTACATCACGTACATCATGAATCTTTCTCTTCTGTTATACCCAGCTGTCGCATACATGTTCAAGTACACAACCGCAATTTATAAGCTGACCATACGAAATATAAGCTCACTGCCAATATTAATTCTCGAATAGGCTTTGTTCTCAGCAAAGAAGAGAATGGCTCGAGGCACCCCAAGAGATTAGAATCATGTCCGTCACGAATTTAGAGTGAAAAGAAAAGGTCATGATTGGGGTTCAGCTCGCATAAATTTAACGCACAAATATGAGTGTGTACGCACCATCCTACCAGACCAACGAAGTCGCAAGTGACAAGTTTTTGTTTCATCTGACTTTCAGACTGATATGTTCGAAGTTGGTTCTTGATATATTTGCTATGCTACAACATTTAAACACAACTAATATAAATGCGTAGCCACATACTCTGCGCAACGTAGTAGTGATGAAACTTTGTGAAGACAATCGCTATGGTACCTCTGAGCTCTCTTCTCAGTTAAAAACTGCCCATACATCTATCATAATGCAAAACATAGCCTTCTACCAAAATGGGACAGCACTGGGATCACAGATCCGCCCAGGTAAGTCGCGGCTCTGGCTGTCGAAATCTGACTAGCCGTCTCGGTGACGTAGCTGGGGTGTCGCAATTTCTGTTTGTTAAAATTATATTTTTTGCGCTGATATCATCGAGTAAAATCATATCGATAGACCTATCCAATCATAATCAAATGCAATTCGTGTGGTGTCAAAGGACACGGAGGCTGAACAAACCATGTCTGAATCGATCTAGGATCTGTAGAAGCATTGACCACGTTATTAAATGTAAAATCGATTGGTGATCGCATGTGTCCTATCACTTCGGACGCTTCGCGCAAGTGCTTTGAGAATACCATTCGCCACACTCTGAACACATTCGGTCTAACTACCTGGATAGAGATGACCAGTTTGATCACAGTCCGCCAAACGTCACATAGTGCGCGAACTTCGGTGCGAATTAATGGCTACCGACTGGTTATATTAGTAAAGAAAAACCTTGTCAAACGAGAGCTTGGCAGTGTCCTCACTGGTAACGGTGCGCCGGCATAAGCCAAGACGGTCCACAAAGTTCCCAATGATACTATCACCATCTTTTGAGACCCAAATTAGTATTCATGCTGATAAAGCACCGGCATTCTACGAGGACAGGCGAACCGATCAGGACGTGGCGAGTTTTAAACCTATGTAAACGCTGTACACGCGCGCGCGTAAGTGGATTTGCAAGTACAAAGCTTTGAATGAAACGGATGTCTTTTCCGTACAAAAGTGGCCACTCGGGGGCATAAGTCTCGTACATTTCTTAGATGTATCATGAGGTGCTCCCACGTGGGTCAGTTAAAAATTAGCAAGCCTGCGCGCAAGAAGCAGCGGTGCAAACGCGCTATCAAACCTCTTACTGAACGAAATCTGAGCTAAAAAAGCTCCGTTTCCCAGAGCTTCCGACAGTGTATCGTACAATCCGTACGTAACAAGGGTCAACTCGCCAATGCGCGACATAATCAATGTGACAGCCATAAGTCTAGCTGATGCAAAATCGGACCCACACAATTTAGCCAGACTGACCTGTACTTTATTTAAATTCTATATTTGGGGATTAGACATATGGTGATGGCGTCGCTTTACATAGCAACGCATGAACCGCATGCATTTCGAATGGCTATATGCTCGGCAAGTATATTCCAAGCTCGGGGGTCAATTTTGTCCGCCGCTTTAAGCCCACACAACAACGCGTTCGAGCCCGATGACATTTGCGGAAAGTAAAGTACAAACAACGACCGAAACGTCAGAGGCGAAACGAAATGGCCGATTCGGGGAAGAAAGGGTCCGAATTGGGCTCCCGTGGGGCTTCCATTGATGCTCTAAAAAGCCATTTTGCAGCCTGTTAACATCATTTGATATTTCTCTTAGAACATTTATTACGAACCGTTCAATGTCGGCATAACTCTTACAATATTTGCTCAATGAGGCGACCAAAAACCGCTCTTAAATCGTCGTGAGATCTTCATGCTAGCCATGCTATTCAGTGATGTTTCCTAAAAATAGTATTTTATTGTCATCCAACCAGAGTTGTTTATTTAGAAAAAAAGCTTGTTTAAGCGCAAAACTCGAGCACCACTTAAAAACGTTTGAGTCGGGTATCCACATCTGATTCTGTGTGCGCTGCACGACCATGATTCAATATATTGTGTCGGTGTGTTTGTACGATGCGGCCTCAAGTGCTAATAAAATTGATGGTCAAATAATGGTCGAACTTAAAATGGCCTCTGAAGTATTAGCAGTCGCTTCCAGTGTAATTTATAAGAGCGAGATCACAACTATCAACCATAAGTAGTTGATAGTAATTATCGGCAAGATCCAGACCATTGAATAGGCGTTTACGACCACGCCGTTTCGCAGCACGTCCTTTTTCGGGAGAGGCAATTGCGGTGAAATGGCTGGTGCATCAATTTTTAGTCAAGCATGCACATTTCGCCTTTTGGGCCATTATCTTTCTGACGCTAACACATGGCGCCAAGCGGGGGCATCATTACCGCTGATTTCGGTTCACATAAAACGGCTGAAATCGTCGATGACGTCAAATATCTGATTTTTTGGCACTATTGATGTTTTGCTTGAAGACGAGTGCCGCGCCTTTTGACATCACGTCGTGATAATTTTTCAGCAACGAAAAAAGTGATCCCTAGGATTGTTGGTTCTAGTCTTTCTAGCTCTTAAACACAATGGTCAACGATTGCTTTTAATGACAGATTCTTTATAACGGAAGACGAGCTTAACCCCTCATCGGGTATTAATCGTCATACTTCGGTCATTTCACCGTCACGACACACATACCCTCGAGATCAATCTCCAAGTACAGCTAGAGTGTATGCATGGGGTGATACGATAATACCTGCGCCCCCATGACTACTTCGTTCACCCATTTAGTACTTTAAAACATTGTCGTCCGCAAACCTGGAGTTTCTCTGCCCCGCAAGGGTGCACCTCACATCATATCGCGCTAACGTTACGTTACATCGAGACGAGAATAGACCATTCATATATAACGTCAGGATCTGGTTCTTCTATTAGTAATCTACAGCCGTCAGTCACACCGGAGACCACGACATACCGCTTCTTCTATGAGATAACGTCTTTTTGCTGCGATATATGATAAGTTCTGTCGTCTCATCATAAAAATCTCGACCCTCTGCCGCTACTAGCAGTTTTAACTCTAGAACTAATTAACACGCAACCCCATGTCCTGCACTAAAGATATCACAGCAACATATCATAGCTTTGTATTCGCGCCAAAAGTGCTACTCCATCATATCATAATTATGCTTCCGATCCACCATGGCACCACCAAAGAGAAGTACACGGCAAATTTTTTTATCCAAAACGCACGCGTACCGTATGATCAGTCGCGTGTCGCACTTTATGACATGGCGCTCATGAATCTATCAGGCATTTCCAAGGCTCCGGATGTCAACGGATGTGGCTAATATTCCTGGACTATTAGACCCACCTCTCCAGAGTGAAGCCATCCGCATTAAAACTAAACCTTATCATCCATGGCCTCCCTGACGTACAATGTAGCCCCAGCATGTCGTCATCATAGGACTAGAATTAAAGCATTAGCGGTGAGTCGGTTGTTTCCCCACATTGCTTGTCCTGAGGAAAGAAAGAGGAACATCTCATAAGACATTCCCACACAGGATATACCACAAATGGTCTTTCAACTGACAACAAGTACTTCCAGATGCAACGGGGTAGCCAATCGCATCAAGCAGAGAAAGCGGTAACTCTTTTAGTCTGCGCGAAAATGCGCGCTGCTCGCAGAAGTGGAGCCGAGATTTCAATGTGGTTTTGACTCAGAACGGACGTACAAGTCTTACCTGAAGTAATAATAAAGGAAAGTGTTCTACCTTCTTGGTATTAACATATTTGACGTGATACGTGTCTCACAGTCCTTTCCGATAAGGAATCTTATCATCCCATCATTACCGAGTACCAGTTATGAAACGTCTTCATTTTATATCTATCTACCTTTGTACTTGCCACATAAAACTACAATAAAGTTAGTCTTTAAAAATTGTAGAAAAATTTATAATACTCATCATCTCTAAATCTTTAAAAACTGCTGACTATGTTGATATTCTCTGATAATTGGCTAAATATTCACCAATCTCTCGCTTTAAAACCAATCCAAATTACAGTAGAGGAAGTTCGCAATTATATAAGAAGCCAGTGCCATGTACGGTGGAAACTCTCCCTACGGAGAGAACGCGGGTCAGCTCGCGCATTCAAATGTTTGGCGAGACACTTCTGAAGAAGAAAGTTATGGAAGCTATTTGGGTCCAACTGCTCATGGAGTTGGTAATAATGACATTCCTATGATGCGTCCAACAATGACGACTCGGCCTAGTGCTTCTGTACACCAAGACATTGCTGTTGGTCAATTGGACGAATTAAGTGCCACTGGAGTTGGAACTAAAAAGACGTACACGGGTCGAAAAGTTGTGTGGCCTGGTGCACTCTTTCTTCTACTGGTAACGGCAGTGGCCCTCAGCCTCATTGCCTACTTTGGCGTGCAAGAATACAATAGCGCCCAGACGCAACAATCCCTCACGTTGGCAGCCACTGAAGTGGATAGAGAGAGGAAGGTTATGAGTGTCAAGAGCTGTCTACAGCCAGACTACGCAAGTGTAAATGGCAAGATTTATGCTGTCGATACCAACACGGGTGATCGAAAACAAATTGTTTTTACAGGCATCAATTGGAGTGGGATGGAGAATGCTGAAGGCGTTCCTCATGGTCTTGCTACAAAACAGAGTTACTTGGATGACATTGCTGCTAATCTTTCGGACAATGGGTTTAATGCCGTTCGTCTGCCACTAAATGCTCAAATGATCATCGACAACTCACCTCCAAACACGAGACTTTTTGTAAATAGTCTTGACACGGATCTCAACGTGGTTTCCTACATTGACATGATTAAAAAAGTTGTTCAAGCTCTTGGAAAGCAGCAAATTGGCGTCTTGCTCGATATTCATAAAATTAATCCCAACTTTACAGACGATACGTCTGAGCACTTGTGGTACACAGATGAGTATCCGATTGAAACCATCTATCAAATGTTTGAGACCTTAGCCTCCGAGCTTTGCGGTGATCTTCAGTACAATATATTTGGCATTGATCTTAAAAATGAGCCTGTGGGGGGATGTTGGCCTGAGTCTGATACGGATGAATATTGTGATCCGGACGTGAATTGGCCTCGTGCAGTAGAAGCAATTGGTGACAGGATTCTGTCCATTTGCCCAAATTGGCTCATCGTTGCCGAGGGGAATTATGCAGTCAATACTGTGGCTGAAATTAATGGCGTAAATGTGACATATAACGATTGGTACGGTGCTAGTCTCCAAAATGTCACGGCCAACCCTGTTATGCTTATGACGCAAGGTAAACTTGCATTTGCTCCACACTTTTACTCTCCTAGTGTGTACCCTTCCGCGTACTTTTTTAAGAAGCAATCTTCAAGTGGAGCTACAGTTTCTGTAACGGAGTATCCAAACACAACTGAAGGAAATGCGTTACTAAAAGATGCTGTGGTATCTGTATTGGACAATGCATTTGGAAACGCCGTAACGGAAGCTGGTGTACCTACGTTTTACGGAGAGTTTGGTGGTATCTACGGATCTGCAGAATTGCTGGCAGATCTCACAAGTACACGAGTTATTGAGATTATTATCGAATATGCCAACGAAAAAAACATGACGGGAGGTTTTGCGTGGGCACTAAATCCTGATGGACATTACGCTTTTAACGATGAGTATAAACCCGATGATCCGTGGCAATACGGTCTGTACGCGAACGATGCTTGGGATTCTTATCACCGAGACTTTTCCATTGGCCTTCAAAACTTGAGAGGAACTGGTGCGTTTCCATGCTTTGCCAAATATACGAGGGTAACGGAATCAACCTCTGGTAGTGGAAGTGCTACTATATCGGTCGATTCAATCACAAGAAATACACCATCTTCTTCAAGGAATGCGACGACCCCAACAGTTGCTGCTGTTACGGATGAAGCCGAGCCGCTTCCACCAGCTGTACCCGCGACGCCTCCAGCAGCTGAAGCCGCGACGCCTCCAACGGCTGAAGCTGTGACGCCTCCAACGGATGTGGCTCCAGCGCCTGCAACGGAAGCTACTCCAGCGGCTGCGGGTGTAACAGCTACTGCACTTTGAAAGTGATCTGCATTTTGGTTGCTCGTTTAAAGTCAACATTGATCTCATTTGTCACTTTAAAAAGAAAAACAAATTTGTTTCAAGTAATGATGTCTACATCTGACTCACTTAACGCTGTTTTGATCTTTTTGCGTTGCCGTAATTGCTCAACTTCACATGCCCGTTTAATAGCCACATTTTTAGCTAGTAGCTCGTAATACCGGCTTTGGTAATTCTTGAGTTTCATGGCATTCCGCGTTTGTTCCTGCTGTCGCATTAGATTTACCTTGTCTACGACCATTTTATTCGCTTGAATCGCATGTTCGTACTGTGCGTTCATCCCGTCCAATATGGCCGCACGGACTTTTAAAAGCTTGGTACCATAGCCTTGTTGCAATTCTAGATTTACTACCCTGTAATCATAACAGACATACCACTTAATACGCTAAAACTCAGTACAAAATGACAACTAGTTAGCTACCGATTGCTTTGATGTTCTACCACCGTTTGCAGCTGCTTGACTGCACTCTCCCATGCTTCCAGTGAATTTGAGTTCTTGCCCGTCGGCTCGTTGACCTGATACCGATTTAAATCAATTGCATCTAATGGTACGTTGGCTGCCACACGTTTCATCTCAGTTAATAATCTTCCATTGCCACTAAAAGTTGGCGAGTATGACGGTAAATAGGCTAAATATTTGTCCTGGGGCGGCGAGAACGTCGCCATTTCCGCACGAATTTGCGCCTGCACGTGCTGCTGACTTTCATTTGAATTGTATTTAGTATCTATATAGCCAAGTGAGTCAATAAGCGCGCGACTTTCGATTAGCAACGGACATAAGGGTGATGATGACATGGAGAATGAAGATTGGTTTACTTGATTTTCACAATTAAATCATGATATTTACAGTACTAAGGAATATTTACGATCTTTTCATGCAGCAATTATTTCAAAACATTTCTGAAAGACAATAATGTTGGTAGTAATTAATTCCTTCTGGCGAAACTTTAGCCAGAGAGTCAAGTGTCTACCAGTAGCGAAACGAAACAGAGACTTTCCCTTAACTAAAGTCAAGAGGCTTGAGGAAGAGGCTAAATACCTTCATCACCTTGTGGGTAATTGATCATGGATCCCGCGATCCCGGTGTTACATTCAAAAAAAGAATGAACGCTAGTAAATGGGAGCGACAAAATCTCCCGTATCTTGTCGAGAATATTCGCCCTTATTGAAGCCTCATAAAACCCTCACTCTCTGTAAGCGCATAATTGCCTTTTGTATCGCACAGGACGTCGACAGTCGCTGCCAATCCACTGAATGTCGGACTACCAGCAACATATTCTTTGTGCTAAATATGAAGAATATTTTAAAATGACTTAAAAAAAGTGTTTACATAACCTTTATACCTCAATGCATCACTTCTGACAGGATCATAAGTGTGTGGCTGAAGTCTTCTTTCAACATAATGCTTGCAAGATGTTTAACATGTTCGAACACTCTCGTACTTCGGCAGTCTGTACGCTTACTAGCAAGTAAAAGTGCTGCGAAACAAACGAAACCTACTCTTGTATCCAAGTTTCGTAAGAAAAAAACCTTTCAATTCTCGGGTGAAGACGTCAAAAAGTCGACGCCTCTCGAACAGTTTGTGTACCCGGCGTACTGGGATGAAGATTATCCTAAAGATTTTGACAATGAAATGAAGCACGAAGTTGAAAAGCTACAGGTATTTGCTGACTTTACACCATATTTGGATTTATCCTGGCAATCTCAGATCCATCCGTTATTTAATGGTGAAGATATTGAGATGACACTTAACTGTCCGCTCGAGGATTTTGATGAGCGGCTTTTTATTAATGACAAGAATACGCACGATACAAAAGTAGTCATGGAGGTGCCTATGACTTGCTTTAAAGGTCTTGACAACGAGGCCAAGAACATTGTCATACAGCTCGCTGGTCCACGTTACAATGCGAACAAAAAGATGATCAAGATTGCCGAGGATCGCTACAATAAACGCGTGTACAACCACAAGCGAATTTGTGAGATTCTACGCGATCTTACAGAGACAGCACTCAAGCTTAGTGGCCAAGCATTAGACGATTCAACACCTGAGAATATCACCGAGAAGTAGCTTGCTAGAACCCACAGTAAGGCGACTCTAAATGAACCATTTTCTGTCTTTAATTGTAACTCTATGTTTTAACTTGCGGTGGACAGATGAGAAGTTTTCAGTATAATGCAGTAGCATGACAATGACAAAAAGCTCAACAGGCAATGTACTCGCTAAACCTCTTAAGCAAAGTATGCTTTAATTGCTCTTGATCACAATCCTGTTAGAAATTTTGGATATTACGCATCTACTTACAAGCTCCAAGCATCCAAGAGATTCAGCTATTGAGGTCTCTTGTGTGCAGCTTCCGCTGCCGCTCGTTCGACCGTTTGCCAATTGCTATCTTTAAGATCTTGCACTAAATTCGGCATACATACGAACTAGACTGCGTCACGTAGCGTACCCATCGCTTGTATGTGTAATTCGGGTGTCGCGCGTGTTCTGGAATGCGCAAGTAGCGCACTTGGAGACATGAGGTATTGTACATGGGGATCTCGAAGTTCATGCTGACAGGGCCAATCTCACGCCGCACATGTGGACTAGGCTGACCGAGCGTAATTTTAGCTCGCAGCGTGAGTTCAGAGCCACCAGTAAAGCGCTTGATGGCCCAACGTACTTGATTTTCGTTCTCACGATATTCTGCAAGTTGACCCGCAGAGTTCTTGCCAATATCACATGATACAGCCACAGTAGATTGTGGTACGGGAAAGCGTATAATTACGTTCGCACCATAATTATTCTCAGGCATGTCAGCACGAATTTTAAGAACCATTTCAATCTTAGTAGGAGATAGTTCTTCGACAAATGGAAAGATACGAAATGGTGCACGAAAGTCACCCGTGATACGATAATTTATCACTGTAAATTCACCATCAGGAGGCTGAAAGATAAGCACACGATCGCGCTCAAATTCGTCCAATTGGACACAGTCGTGAAAGTTGCAATCGTCTAGAACCACTTGACCGTATTGTCGAGCTCCCGAGTTCCCAATCACTAAGTCTTCATTCAGTGCCAATCGTAATTCTGGATTACCTGATAAGTAGCTTTTAAGTTGAATTCGTCCTTCAATAGAAGCATTAAGCATTTGTCCACCAGAGGAAAAGACGACATTAAGACGTTCAAGAATATCACAGAAAAGTTCATTCTCGTCTTGTTTCTTCGAACTCTGTCCAGCTGTAGCCACGGGCTTTTTAACAGCACTTGCAGCCTTAATATTCGAGCTGCGATTCATAAACTTAGAGCTCGCTTTGGGTTTCGACAACACAGCGTCTCCTACTAGAATAGCTTCATTGTGTACATGTACCTTAAGTCCCTCTGTACTCGTATCTTGCGCAAATCCATAGTCCAATGTCTCATCTAACAGTTCATAGCAAAGAATGAAGTTCTTACGTAGTGTCTCCTCGCTCAAGACGCCGCAATAGTCTTTAAATACGCGGCAAAGTCGTGTAAGCAGCTCTAAAATGTAGCTTGGACTCACATTGTATCGTGTAGTTGCGACAAAATAAAGTCCATTCTTCTTCACGAACAAATAATTGACACCGTCAACATTAAACGTTGGGGGTGCATCTCCTTTTTCCCAAAACTTGACTTTACGGGAAAAAATCTCGGCTGAGTTGCTCTCGACGTCACCTCGAAAGTCACTGTAGATGATAGTGTCACCTCGTGTAGAGAGAATGTAGAATTGGGAAATGGACGATGACATGCCGTTGGATCGGCGTAAGGAAACGTGATCTGCCACGTCAACGTCTTATGGTTGGGAGGATAAAAAACGAAGATCGAGGTAAAAGAGGAGTAAAATCTCTCTAAAAGAACAGAGACGACTCATTTGTTAAAATGACTAGATGGAAGGTAGGATAATGTCTTATCATAGTTCGCCATTTTTGACTATAAGTGACGGATTTTTACGAATAGGTTTTATTTATTAGTAGCCTCAAGAAATCGACCACTTTTGACAGGAGGTCTACAATTCGTAGAGGGCTACTATATCTCGACGACATCAACGTCATT